AAAACCAATATGACAATAGTGCAAAAGAAAAAAGATTAATTAAAACAAAAGTTCCAAATTATACAACTTGTGCCTAAGATCTTGCCTTAAAATACAGAAATGTTAATTTCTATAAATGATGCATGTGGTCGGCCCTTAAAATTAGAATGAAAGTTAATGACTTGAATAATTGGATCCTCTCTAATTATCACCAAATTTAGAGAGGAACTGAATCCGAAGTGAGGGCAACGTCCATTTTATTAGTTTTAATAAAAAATTTGTTGTAAATTATTTATTAGTTTTAAATTAGTTCTTATTTTTGTTTCCTAAGATGGTTTTATATGATCGAGTAACTGAGATTTTTCTAAACTTTTCTAACTTCTCCTAAATTAATTATTGTTCGGAATTCTTTAAATGAGTTTTGATATAGGTTATGATGTAGTTTTTAAAGTTTATCGAGGGCGAAGGTGGAAGCTTATAAATGTTACTAGGGCTTATATGCAATTCATAAATTTGTGGGGGTGCAACTACAACTCAACTTAAGAATCTAAATTTGCCTCTGGTTTCACATATTTTGCACATATAGCCCCTCAGTTGTATTTAGACTCACTTAAAACCCTAAAGTTTCTATGAATTGTACTTTTAGTACCGATTCCAGAGCCATCAGTGCTTATTAGTAATAGTACTCGAGTGGTGCATAGTTACAAGAAGTTACATGCTGAAGGAACTGAAGTCTAAATAGGATATTACAGTTCTTGGACTACGTATTTTGCTTGATTTGTCGGTGATTATGTAGAGGCTTAACACTACTTAATTCGTTGGTGGTGTGAAGTAATTTGGGGCTCTCATCAAGTACCCTCAATCATGCAAACATGATAATTCTGCCTCAAAAACTCTCATGCAATGCTAATTTTAAAACACTTTTAACTCTTACAATTTGTTAAATTTACTATTAAACCTATCAAAATATTTAAATTCGATTAAGCCTTTTTCTATTTGTGGTTCATTTGTAGTTATCTTTATGAGTGAACATTGTAATATATATTTATACATGACAAAGATAATAACTATAATTATCCCTTGTGTTAGATAAGTTCTTATATAATTAAAAAATTTAGGACAAGAAACAAATACAATTTCACGTGCAACGCACGTGCAATATACTAGTATTTAAAAGATGGATTTGAGGTTGATTAATCTCTATGATAAAACTTATAATAACATTTGTTGCATACGACGTTTGTTATATTTTATGATTACAGTGTACCAAATAGTCTCTACGTGTGCGAAGTAATTCTAGTTCATTCTCGTTGTCTACATTTTAATATGAGATAGTGAGTGATTCAAAAGCTAGCTTAGTTAGTCACTTCAACTTGCATTAATAATGGTGTTAGGAGACCAATCCATATCATAATATTTTTTTTCTTCGTCGAAGTTTATTTCGCTCAATTTAGGGGTTTTCTATCTCTTTGTGAGAGATGGATAACAAATAATTTCCTTCCGTTTGCCTGATACGAGAAGCAAGACTAACTATTTTATAAAATATATGAAAGCTACGGCGTCTATTAAAAAAATATGAAACTCAACATGTATTGATTACGAACAAATCCTTGTAGTATCACTCAATTGCAAATAAAGTCTCTGTAGCTCTATTTACTATTAATAGACTCATTATAGGTCCGTTTTGTTATGAAAAGACCCATGAGTGATTTCTTTTTCACACTTGAAATCGTTAAAAATGTTTGAAGAGACAGAAGGACCCCCAATAGTTTTATTAGTGAGGTAGACACCCAAGTACAAAAGAGTAGAAAATGTTCGTTAAGGGAGTATGTTTGCACTTGGGCGACACTACATAGGTTTCTTCATTACAAGTCAAACTACATGAAATCTTTTCATAACAAATAGAATTACACCGGATCTATTTGTAATTAAGTGATACTAAAAAGGTCGGTTTAGCGATTAACCCATTAAACTAACTTGCTAAGCTGATATAAATCAATCACTTGTCACAAAGTACCTATATTCAAATACACTAACCTCTCCAACGCATGATTTTGACACTGTTCATATATTTACGTTATTTCTCCCCCTCTTCCTTCTAAAAAATCGTCAATTTGTTTCGCGTCATCGCTCACCTTTTGTCGCGTAGCGCCCCAGCGGTTTCCTAACAAATGAGCTGTCCTCCCCGTTTGCCACGTGTCATACCAGCAAACGCCGTTACCTTGTCCCCTCAGCTCCCGGCTGCCACCCAGCACCTCGACAACTACCCTATCTCGGAAGGTAACGGCGCCGTCGCCGTTGCCGTCGCCGTCACTTGGCCGTTACCCTTCTGTTTGCTCCACGTGGCCCGTTTAACTCCATTAGTCCCCGCTTGAGATTGCAACGTGTCGAGTAAACAACGCATGCAAGTGGTGGTTGGCGGGTAACTGTCCCCGTGTTTGTGCATTAATTACTAAATTAGCCCTGCTATTTGAAATAAATTACGGTCAAGGAGAATAGGCTAGAATTTGATGGAGAGGAGAAATGGGTCAATGAACTAGTCGACGCGTAGTTTTGGGGACCGGCGTTCTTTTTACTGAGAAGGTAACGTATGAGGAAAAGTTTTTTTTGTTTGTTTTTTCTTTTTTTTTTACCTGGATTAGGTAACTGCTATTGGCGGTTTGTTAAAATTAATATGAGCTGTATTTTTAAAATAGATTTACGATAATACCCCTAACGAAAATTGTTTTAGAACTAGTACATATTTGTTTTTTAATTTTATTTTTTTTTGGGGGGGTAAATGGCTATTAGAAATTTTATGGCCGTCAATCTCGTAAACCTTGCAAATAAAGCGTGTTCTACTGCAGACTACTCTCTTAAGATGTCTCCTTAGGTTGATTTGTCACTGTGGACTTGGAGTTGCTTGACTTTGGTGTCCTACCAATTTCTGCTTTGTTTTCTTTTATGATGCATTTAATTGAGAGCACCTATTGATTTTTTTAGTGTCTTTATTTTCCGAATATCAAGAAATTGTTATAAAAAAAGATGATGATGACTTTGTAACTATATAGATTGAAGGAATGAAATTAATCTCTCCGAGATTATTGTATTTATAGAGTATTAATAAAGATAAATTGAAACCTAATAGGGTCTAGCCGAGTTGGTAAGCTGTTTATGAGTAGTACTCTAAAATCTCATGTTCGACTTCTGTGACACCCCCACACTTTAGATCTACACAGATTCGTGTGAAGAAATGTTAGTAGCTTAAATAAAGAAAAGTTTAAGGCCCAACAACAACTAATGCTAGCATTTTGACAGTAGACTTTAGCCAACATCGAGTTGCTCTCGGTGGGTCCCATGGTTTGCACGCGCCAACGGGCTCGGGGCATGACAAATGGTATCAGAGTAGTTGCCAGCCGGAAATGTGGAGCTAAATGCTATACGGAGTTAAGTGTTACACAACGATGATGCGTGTGAGAGCCACCTCTAGAGCCCGTAGGAGCCACCTTTAGAGTCCACGTCGCCTGGAAGTGATACTTGGATGTGTCAATTGTCATGTCGTGACGACGAGAACGTCGTCTTTGTAACATGAGATGATTGTGACACCTCCACACTTTAGTCCCACACAGACTAGTGTGAAGAAATGTTAGTGGCTTAAATAGAGAAAAACCAATGGCCCAATAACAACTAGTGCTAGTATTTTGACAATAAACTTTAGCCAACATTGGGTTGTTCTCTGTGAGTCCCACGGCTTGCACGAGCCAACCGATCCGTGGGCCCAGAGCGTGACAACTTCCTATGAAGCATCCACAGAAATTTAATTTTCTATCCATAGTCCAAAAGATCGTGGGAAGTTCCCTCGTTAAACCGAAAAACATTAAATTGAAACTCACTAAATTTCTATGCAAAAAAGTTGGCTCTAAAACTAGAGAAAAAATTTCGTTAGAAATCAACATATAAAAAAAAAATTTAACTATCAGGTTGAACCAATATCCGGACATATATTAAGATTTAGAAACTTTATTGATATTTGTTTATTACTCATAATATTCATAAGCATATTAGTTATCAAAATTTAGGATATCTTACCTCTTCCAAACATTATTTGCGTACACATGTAGCCGGGTGCCAATAAGAATTCCCACCCCTTCCCTTTTTCATACTCCAATAAAATAGGAAACTATGTTCAAAACGCACTCAAAGTAAGACGTCAAATATCATATTTAGTTATTTGTACTTTTTTAGGTTAAGAGTTTGTGGATGGACTCATCATAAGATTACATCATATTTTCTAGACTCCCTGCTTGAAAAAAAAATTGACACTTATAAATATACACATTTAACTTGATCACCTCTAAATACAGAAAATCTAATAATATATTGATTGAGAGGAGGATCTATATATTAAAGCCTATATATTAATCTATTTATATCATAGGAGCTTCCCAATTTTCTAGTGAAAATTAAAAAACAGGAGTCATATCAGAAAACACTGTACCATTAGATTTTTTTTTTCATTACCCCTCTGTTCTGCTATCAAAACACCTGTACCATGTAGTGGTGTTTGATAGAAACCCCACTCAAAATTAAATGCTAAATTTAACTTAGATATTATTCTAGTGATCTAAATAATAAAATTTATATCCGAGATAAACAATGCCACCTGCAACTCATCAAACAACCTACTTAAACTTTAAAAACTTACCAAGCATCTTCCTTTAACAAAATCATCCTTGTCATGTACTTACACAAAGTTATAATAATAGCCATATTCCCCAAATATCACTCAAAAAAACTTAACCTTATCTATAATCTCATCCTTTAAGATTCCAATGCCATTCTTTTAAAAGTATTCCTATTTATAGAACTAAAGATATAAAATGTTTCAATTTTATTTTATTTTATTTAAATCTGGGAGGGGATGTGTTCATCTTTGGACTCATAGAGAAGCGGGCATTATCGTCTTTTCCATATAATAAATATTTTATAGTTGGATAAAGACTTCTTAAAATAAAAAGAAAACTTAAATAATTAACAAAAGGGTAGAGAAAGAGAGAACTTCTTTAACTTGAAAGCCTAGAGTTGAAGTAAGAGGAGACTGATTCCCTCTCTTCAATATATAATTATTTTTATCCTCATCATCTTCAATAACTTGAGCCATGAATCCCCACCAAATTGATGGGTGAAGATCATTTGGGAAGGAGAATTCTAGGGTTTGTTGCTTGTGTGCTCTTCTTCTAACAGTAAGATCACAATCCCTGCTCAATATAGTTATCATCTTAAAGATTTGGTTTTTAGGGTTTTACTGTGCACATTACTCAAAATTCTATATTGGGTCTGATTGAATTCATTCTATTTCATTGTTTTCCCCTCAAAATCCACGTGTTTCTCCCTTTCTCAGACTTGTTTGAGTTTAATTAGGACTGTGTTTTAGTGTTATTTGATCCTGCAAATTCGATTCACTAATTTGAGGTCGCTTGGAGAAAAGGTGAGAATTTGGGGTTCAGTCAATGAGCTGTACAGTGTCAAGGATATTTTAAAGCTATTTTTATAATTTTTTTGGTGAGTGTGTATGAATTCTGAAGGCAAGACGATTAGATGTGTTCTGATGTTTCTTGCTCTTAATATCGCTTGATTCTCTGTATATTAAAAATTCTTTTTTGCCTTCTGTTTCAGAGTGAGTATATTTTTACTGATCTATAGCTGTGTTAAAGTTTGTAGTGATGTATCTGAACTTTCAGTTCCATGTTTGTCATGACTCATGACCCATGACAACTGATTGCTTGGTTATGATCAATTTTAAAGTATTTTACGTACCCATGTATAAATTGTATTTCTCCTTGTCTTTTTTGAGGCTTTTATTTAGTTTTCCATGTGGAGCTAATTGATACTTTGTTTCTTTAATTAATATAGTTGAAAGAGAAAGTTGGTAAATTTAGGATTTGATTATGGAATCAAGAACTGATGGAGCAGATACCGGCGAAATCAACGCGCAGGGTGCCGTGCCATCCACAATCACATCTCATCCATGGTGGCATGGTCCTGGGTTTGGTGCAACGGTTATACCAGGCAATGCAACTAAAGCAACTATAGATCAATCACAGCTTCATGGCGATGTGAATGAGGGGAGAGATGCTAGCAAAGAGGTGCAAAAGATTAGGAATGGATCAGGTTATTTCCTCTTCAATCAATGTCTTATTATCCCTAAATTTTTAGGATATCAATACATCATGGATATAATAATATTAAAGTAAATTGCACATAACCCCCCATCTATAGCCTCAGTTGTGCTAAACCCCTCTCAACTCATTTACTAGCACTTAGCATCCCTGAAATGCCAATTTTAGAAAGGTATATTGCAAGTATCACCCCTCTTTATCAAGAATTGAGAGGGGCTAAGTGCTAGTAAGTAAATAAGTGGAAGGGGGTTTAGTGCAACTGAATGTATAGATACTGAGGAAGGGGATATGCAACTTGCCCATAATTTTATTTTCATATATTAATTTGTATGTATATGTTGATATTTTTAATTTCATGTATATGAGAATATTCTCTAATTATTTGAACTGATAGTTACATGAGTAATCATATTCTTCATTGCGAAACTAGACAAATTATATAAATGCAGTGCATCTAAAAATAAAAAAATTTGGTGAATTCATCATTCATCCTATTTTTCTCTTTTCTAGTATTGGATATGTTGATGTTATGTCCATAGTGACTTGGTCTAAACCGACAACCATGTATCAAAGACATGACTGTTAACTTTGCTAATCAAACCTCTGGCACTCTTTTGCACTATGGGATTCATATTGGACTTCGCTTTCCCTTGGCCACAATTTGCGCGATGATACCACCATTGTTTTAAATATCCCCGACATGGCCCGATATATCCCCCGATATATCCTTTTACAGGGCTTGCCGCAACCGATATGGTCTTTAAATATCCTTTACCATTTTTTGGCTATTTTGAGTGATAAATCCCCGATATTGCCGATATATTAGCCGATATGTGGACCAATATATCTTTTTATATAGCTTGTTGCAAAATAATATACCGTGTTTGGAATTTTTGGGAGAGATATCAAGATTTTTCCCAATGTTGAAAATAGCGATAACGCATAGCGTAACGCTTACCTCCGGTTAGGTTACAATAGCAATAACGCATAGCGTAACCTAGGTTAAATAATTTATTATTATTTAAATAATTTATAGATATATAACATTCAAAATAGAAAATATGAATAATCATCGCAATTCTTAATTTCACAAATCAATATATGATCACAATTTCACAACAAAATCAACTGTGTTTGCCTTAACGATCAATCCAAAGGCGAAATTCGACGATAGATCAATAACTAACCGAAACCTAACATCGTGTGTTCCTGCCAAATAGATCAAATTTCTCACGCTAATCATGTTAAAGAGTAAAACAATGGCAACTTCAGGGAACAAGTCAAGCTCACCCTTTCACACATATTAATTTTTATGGCTTTAAGTGTGAAACATAGTCTGATTATCAGTATTCAAGATTGTATTATGTATTTACCTTGCTAATTTCAGAAGTTGAATGGCGGGAGAGGACGACGATGTCGAAAGGGGCGGCGGAAGACGACGATGACAGCAAGAGTTAGGGTTTTGTTAGAATTTAATAACTTATGAGAAGTGGGAGAGTCAATCACAGCCCTTGAATAATTTTAAAAGCAATCCAAACTATTAAACAAAATAACCTACGTTACAAAACGCCACGACGCTACGTTACGTAGCTTACGCTATGGCTAAAATAGCGCACGTTATTTTATGCGTGCGCTATTTGAAAACGCTATGTAGTGTTAGGTTAACGCTACGTTACGTTAAGCGCTATTTTGCGCTACGAAACGCGCTATTTTCTACACTGATTTTTCCATTATATCAAATGACATTTTCCCCTAAAAAAAGCAGATCGAATGTTGCAACGTTGCTTTGCACTTTTATTTGTTTTAGAAGGTTGATTAGTGATCCTAAACATATATTATTCATATTTTGTATGCTTAAATTTCATTACATATGTTGAGATTATATTTTAATGCATTATACTATGTATGCAAACATTCATTAGGGCATTCCGATATTTACCACATATCCCCGATATTTCCCCGATATCCGCAATCCGATATGAATTTTGGCCATCCGATATTTCCTCGATATCCGATATTTAAAACCTTGGATACCACTTGTTAGAGGTAGTTTTGCCCCTGTAGGTGTTAAATAGGACTTAAATAGAAGTTGAAAAGGAAATTAACTCAAAACCTTAACTTAGGAATTGGTTCCAACTTTCTACGTAAGTTCATTACCTTTTCTAGTCTTTTCCAATAGGGGACTATAATCATACATGAATCTCAACAGTGTGATAAAATGCTGTTAACCTCTGCAAGATGGCTTTTATTGCAATGCTAATCTGCGAAACAGGATTTTGCAGGTAATCCTGATGAGCTGGGATAATTCTACTTGTTGAGTTATTGTTGTAGTACAATAGATTAGTAAGCTCTTGTTGTTTAATTTAATGCATGCATATCGGAATTCATGGCAGAGTGAGTTATATTCTAGATCCTGATACAATTAATTTACCTTTTATTTAATTTGAAGTTTTATCAGCACTTTCTATAAAATAATAATTATTATTATAATCATCATTCATTAAGGATTCTCTAATACTTAATAGTATTTGTATTTGTATTTGTTTTGTTAGATGCGAGCTTTGGATCTGAACAACACAATCTGCAGCCTGTATCATCGACTGTCTCACCTATGATGCCTGAATATCTTGTACCTCATACTCAGCTGGAGATGGGTCAAACAATTGTGGGGATACTTCCTTCTTCATTTTTTTTTGGGTTTCCCATCAGTTTAAATCTCTTCTCTGAGTGTTGTCTAGCATTTTACAGGCTTGTCCACCATATTCATATACTGATCCTTATGCTGGGATGATGACGCCTTATGGACCTCAAGCTCTGGTGTGTAATTTGTTTTTCCTGCCCAAGACAATTATGTTACTCATAGTTTCATACTTCATACTTTTTTTGTTAGCACTGTCCATAGTTCTTAGTCAGCTCATCAGCTTGTATTTCTCTCTCTATTATAGAAATCTACTCACAATTCTCAAATTCATAAAGCTGATTTTGGGACTTAAGGGATTTGTGGATATTTTTAGGACCTGACGTGCTTGCATATTAATTTGTTCTAAATATATAAATATGTGTGAACCATATATGAAAGAATATGATTTGCCTCAAAAGTTGGTGACAATGTTTTAGATGATGTAAAGTTCATCTGGGTACACCTTCAAACCAAAGCTTAAGAATTGCTTAAGAATTGCATAATTTCATTGATTGATCTTGATGATTTTTGAGTTTTCTCTGCCAAGAGCATCATCAATATTATTATACTGTTTTTGGGTGATGGGTTCTAACTATTGCTTGGAATCTTTTTTTTTCTCAGATGCACCCTCAGTTACTTGGGCTGCCCCATACTCGGATGCCATTGCCTCTTGAAATGGCAGAGGAACCTGTTTATGTAAATGCAAAGCAATATCATGGAATTCTTAGGCGAAGGCAGTCACGTGCAAAGGCTGAACTTGAAAAGAAAGTTATAAAATCCAGGAAGGTAAGCACGTACAAGCTTCATTCTTTCCCCTTCTAATTAAACACATTTACTCGCTCAATTGTTTGTTGGCATTCAAGATCTATTTCTAGAAGTGAATTATTCAGAGCAAAGATCATTCTAATTTCTTGGTGCACAAATAATGTTTTATCAGTTTCATATCTATGTTGATTGCATTTATATGCCCTTTTGCTGAATGTTTTGAGTCTTTTGACTATGTGCTGCAATACTATACTGTGGAAATCAATCCCGTTAGGTTTACTTATCACTAAAAAAAAGTATTGCTATTTGCTTAGATACAAAATCAATCTTTGTGATGAGTATGATTTGTAATGGCATACATAGTTAGTTTTCCGGGTGTATAGTTTTGAACTGTTATTATCTGATTCATGCAGAAGCTAGCTATTGGCTCTATCTGTGTTGCATCAATCGCATATCTATTTATATTTGATGTATTTCATACACTTCAATTTATCTTTCGGATTATGTGTGGCAGTTTTATGCTGCCATAAAAAGGAAAAAAATCCTAGTAAGGTCTTCAATAGCACTAAAGTACAAACTTCTGCCATATTTTTTGGATAAACATGATCCTACTAATGTTTTGGAAGGTCACTTTAGTAGCGAAAAGTGACATTTGACTGCGTAACTTCTAGGGTAAAGCCTTAATTTATAGAACTCTGCTATTTACTTATGGTTTCGTACTTCGTGAATTGACATATACATTTCCTGAAGGAAATCAATCCCCCCCTCCCCCAAACACCGTGCCAGGGTTTCCTGTTCTGTTTCTTTGTTCAAGAAGATCTGGGTGGCTACTGCCTGATTGCAGGAATCAACAAAAGCCACCACACACAAGATTGAAAAAATTATTTTATCACCTAGTATACTTTTATCATTCATACTGAGGTCTCTTTGTTATTCTTGTTTCCTAAATCACCAGGGTAGCAATGGTAGAACTGGTGTTCTATAGCGGACTATGTCTGCTCATCCATCCTCTTGTTTCCTCATACATGTTGAACCGTCTTTTTGAAAAAAAATTAAATTGTTCTATTCACACACGAAAAGAGCACACATTGAATAATCTTTTTAAGAACCAACTGTTTCAGTCTTTTGCACGCGCGCATTATGTTTGAACAAAAATGAATCTTGTTGATGTTTCCTTTTGCTTTTCATAAGGTTTGAGCAATCACTTTACATTTTCTTTCTTTTGATATTGGATCATATCAATCCTTTCTCCCGCTGATACCACAAGATTCTCAGCAGGGATCCACGAAATCATTTGAGATGTCTCAACCTTGTAGAACCACTTTTCTTCGTGTAGAGTTTCTCCTATTGGAAAAAGAACAAGTTTTACAGGAACCATTTGAAATGTATTATTGTGTCAATTCCACCATCAGTTCTCTTATGGAAACTTTACAGTCAAACTGCTTCCTATCTAAAGTTTAATTAACCGCAAACCTAATATTGTTTCTTTTTTAGTAGATGCTTCAATAAAACTGGCCTTCTCCACTCTTCCGTAAACATACCATAGGCTATGCACGAAATAGGCCTAGTTGCATTTGCCCAAACCTCTCAATACTCTCATATTGATTTCACTCTCCTCACAGTTAAGTTTATCCTTCAGATACGATATTTGCATAAGCTAACTTTGTATTCGGGAATCAAATGCTCTCTCATGTTCCGATCTTGTATATCAGTTTACACAACAGCTGTACAATTATCCTTGCAGTCTATTGTTTGCTATCGTATATTTATACTACCAATCTGACCAATTTTTTGGTAAACAGAGTAGAAATTAAGTTTTGTTCAATAGCTGTAATAAGTTAAGTTAATAGTCCCTTATCGTGCCACACCAAACTATATTTCCATGAAAGTTGATATCTGGTACCCAACTATGCTTTGCCTACAGCCATATCTTCATGAATCTCGGCACCAACACGCAATGAGGAGAGCAAGAGGTTGCGGAGGTCGTTTCCTCAACACTAAAAAAACTGACAGTGCCCCTGATGGAGCCAATTCAAGTGCATCCAATCAACAAACACAATCAGCTAGCTCCTCTGGCTCTGAACCTCTACCCTCTGATTCTTCAGCAAACCCTACCTCATCGACTCCAACAACAACTCAGACGCAGAGCTTTTACGAACCTCAACAACACTCGGGATATCAATTGTCATCGTTTCGGTCGAGTCAGGGTGAAAGAATGCCCCCAAATAGAGCCGTTGCCATTAAGTGAAGGATGGCTGGGGTTTTTTCTCCCGAGTTTTGCCCTGCTAGTTTCATGTTATAATTCTTGCAGGAGAGCAAGCTGGAGATATGAGATATGAGTATGAAGGCAATTCATTCTTGGCTCTTGTTTTCCTTTTTCTGAAAAGAAATATGTTCATCCCTGTCAGAAAGTGTTTTTACTGTGAAAAGGAGAATTAAGTAAATGTAACAGGAGATGGGATTTCAATTGTTTACTTCTCAGACTTCACTGCTGCTTTAGTAACTGAAAGAGTTATGAACATGATCTTAGCCAATGATGCTTATGCAGTTGTTAATGTTTTTATGCTGATGGTTGCCTGATCTATTGAAGTGTAGGACATTGGTCGTAAATTGTATGCTAGTTGTTTGAACAAACTAACATTTGGCTAATTTATTCAGCTTGTTGAATTCATGGATCAATGATTGGTAGAGTGACTGTATTTTTTTACAATAATTAAGGATCCTCCAACTGTCTACTATCTTTGCGTAATTAACGGCGCAAGAGAGTTACTTCTTCCTCGTGCCATGTTTAAAAAAAGAATTTGTTCAAGGATGATCTCTCTCTCTCTCTCTCTCTCTCTCTCTCTCTCTTTCCGTGGCTGTGTCCTCTTCTAAACATAACCTTAGTATATAAACCCCTGCAATATTTAGTAGTTGTCTGATCTATTAAGTGCAAGAAATTGTTATCTAACTGTAATGCCAATGCTCAAGACAGCATTAGCTAATTGTCTTAAATATTTAAGATTCTTCAGCTCATATGAAACCTATTGAAGTAGAGGATCCTTTATATAAATCACAGAAAGGAAGGGAAATAAGACTGTCTATTATAAGTTTTAAATTAGTGCAATAAGTGTAGAAAACAAGTGCAAACAATAAAAAACATGCAAAGAAGCAAAATTTCAAACAAACTATATGCTACTGCAGAGTCAATATCGCCAGTATGTGATCTGTGCAATCATCAACATTAAAATTGATAGTGAGACACGTAATACGATCCTCTTATAGAAAAGAAGGGAAATGAGACACGTCTATTATTAGCTATGAATTAGTGAAATAACTATAGAAACCAAGTGCAACCAATAAAAATCATGCAAAGAAACAAAATTTCAGTAAAAATATCCGTAATTGTAGAATTAGTACAACCAGTATATGGTTAGTATATGACTAGCGAGACATATGTAATAATACTCTTACCTAGGGCTGTCAAAATGGGATTTGGGTCTGGACCGGGCCCGCTGTTCGGTCCCGCCGGGACCCTGGCCTGCGGCCCAAAACCCGGCCCAGCCTGAGGGGCGCTGGAAAATCAGGGCCGACCAGCTTCGGGCCCGTTTCCGGCCAGTTGTGAAGGCCCGGACCTGGCCTGGGTCCAGGCCTGCCGGTTTTAGATTATAATATAATATATATAGTATATATACCATATAGTACTGATAGGTGTATATACTATATATATTCTCAATGTAGTAGTTAGGGATGCATTGGTCAGATGCACGTGGTTGAATATCATGATTATTTAAATTGATAAAAATAGAATAAAAATCAAAAAGAAAAGAAAGTTTTTTGTGGGATTGATAATCAACTCAATAATCTCTCTCTCAAATGAAATATTATCATTGTTTCCTTCAACCCCGACCGTGGTCATGTGATCTACTATTTGTGAGTTATAAACATATTGATCTAGTACAACATCTCTGTTTATTAGTATCTTGAAGTCTTCAAAAGATGGGTGATCATTCAATTCGCAAAGTAGTTTTATATATGAATTTACTTGTAATATGTCCATTAAACTTTTAGTAGTGGTTTAACTCATATTTACATTAACTTTGTTGTGGTTTTATTCATATTTACATTATCTAATATTTTCATTCAATTTTATAGCTCATTCTCTGTATCATAGAAATAAAACTGAAAGTATGAAAATTTATTTTCTTACGAAATTAGAGCAGGGAGATTATGATACATTTCGCCATATACTCTAAATATAAAAAAATTCTTTGATGCAAGGTCCCTATGAAATCTTACCCCAAAAGATGTGAATAAAAAATGCTATTATAACTCACTTGCCTAAGGCAATTGTATTATATATAGGACATAAAACTTATCTAAAATATCCACATCTTCTAAGTGGATTTTGTTGTTGTGAATACAAAATGTTAGAGGCTCGTATTCAAACTTTTTGGCTCTATAAAAGACACAAGAATGTGGAGTGCATAGCTTATATATCGTAAAGAACATACTGGTTCATAAAGAATTTTTTCTAATAACGATATTATTACAATGATATTACTATTCAATATTAAATTAATTTTATTATATAAGATTATATGACCATTTTTAATAAATTATAAAGTATATATATGGAAACCTCGATGCTTATAGCTAATAGTTGGGCTCCACAAAATAGGTTAACTTTATATTGTAGTTTGCTATTGGTAGTACTATGGGCTATGTCATTACCCTTCCTTTTTATCTTATTATTCACGCTTTTATATATATATATATATATATATATATATATGAAAACCTCGATGCTTATCGCCAATAGTTGGGCTCCACAAAATAGGTTAACTTTATATTGTAGTTTGCTATTGGTAGTACTATGGGCTATGTCATTACCCTTCCTTTTTATCTTATTATTCACGCTTTTCTAATGTAAGTTCACTTTTGCTAATCACTCAATTAGCTATATTTAGTTTTTATATAATATTAGAGGTTAGAATATTCTCTTCTGTTTAAAAAGTGTTGACATGATTTTTTTGAAAAATATATACACATAATAGCAATAGTATATACTTTAGTTCAAGTCAAACGTTGGCTTGAAGCCATTTAGAGTGAGGTCCTTTCTACGCTAGAATTGTGATATAGTGATTAAACAATCCAAAAGTCAAAGAAGAAATTTCTACAAAGAAAAAATAATTTAATATGTTAAATTAACAACTAATTTATAAAATATACATGGGTAGTACAAATAGCTATAGAAAGGAAGATATATATCTTCACAAAAATTTCGTAGTGAGCGACCAACTACAATCATCCTAATTTTAGCATAAATAATAATTATTTTAGTTACTAATTTGATACACGTAATTATGGAATCAATTTCAAGTGAAAAATAGGAATTGAGATTGTATTATCATGTAAGTAAATAAATAAATGTTATTAGAGCTCCTCTTTATATTAAATTTAAAAGTAATAATTTAAATTATTAAGCGTCGAATATTAGTTCCTGTGAGAGAGTAAACTAATGTATGGTCTATATACCTATTTAGACAATCAATCAAACGTATTTATGATGACCACGGTCAAAATTATATAGTGAGTTCACATTAAATATAATTTATAAAAAAATAGTACATTAAAGTCAAAATCTTTTTAACCACTATATAAATTGCCTAGAAATTTTTGTACATATAAACTATACTGCTTAGAAATTCTTCTGCTCTGGTAAGCTGCTTGGAACTTTCAACTCTACATCAATTACCTTAGTGCCAAAAATCCTCAACCTTAAATCACCTTCAGACTATAGACCAATTTCTTGCTGCAATTATGTTTACAAAATTATTACAAAGATTATTGCGAGAAGAATTCAATAGGTTATGGGTTTTTTGATCAGTGATGCTTAAAGTACATTTGTCAAAGGAATGCTTATTTCAATTAACATCTTATTAGCCCATGAGCTTATTAAGCATCATGGTAGGAAGCATACTTCATCAAGAGTCATCCTCAATATTGATTTGAGGAAAGCTTTTGACACCATAAGCTGGAGCTTTATTAAATCTATGCTAATAGGATTGGGTTTTCCTTATAAAATGATCATGTGGATTATGTAGTGTATTACCACTCCTAAATTCTCATTATCCCTTCATGGTTCTTTGCATGGATATTTTAAAGGTGCTAGGGGCTTACAGCAAGGAGATCCCCTTTCCCCATACATGTTTGTTCTTGGGATGGAATATCTATCAAGAAAGCTGAGCACTCTCAAAAATGACAGTCTATATATTTAGATATCATCCAAAATGTTCCAGATTAAAGATCACTCACTTATTCTTTGCTGATGGCTTGCTTTTGTTTGGTAAAGCTGACATGTATTCAATAGCAAGATTATATGGATGCCTCCATGAGTTCAGCCAGGTATCAGGACTAGAAACTAATCCTAATAAATGCTATATATATATATGTGGCATTGATGACAACCTAAAGCTCCAGATTTGCACATTTCTGAACTTCTCTGATGGGGTATTGCCAGTGAGATATTTGGGTATGCCATTAGTCTCAAAAAGATTATCTTACTTGGACTGCTCCCCTATGATCAATAAAATTATAGACCAGTTTCAGAGTTGGCAAAATAAGAAAATTCTATCTTATGCTGGTAGATAGCAACTGATCAAGTCAGTTATTTTGGGAGTTCAAATTTTCTGGACTACTAACTATATATTACCCATAAAAGCCCTAGAGAAAATTGATAGTCTATGCTCTGAATTTCTTTGGAATCACAAAATTCACTTGGTCTCCTGGGCTACAGTCTGCCAAAATAAAAAACATGGAGGTTTGGGGACCTTCTCAGCTAAAACCTAGAACTTTGCAGCTGCCATAAAGCTTTTATGGCTGATTCACCTCAAGAAAGATTTGTTATGGATAAAATGGGTTCATGGTAACTATTTGCAACAATATAGTATATAGAAAGTTCAAGCTAAGGTGAATGATTATTGGATGCAGAAACAACTTCTTAAAGTGAGGGATATGGTGATTGGAAAATTTGGAAATGTCGACAATCTTCAAAATATCATCAGCAGAAGTTGTTCTGATGGCAAAGTTCAATTATCTTCTATTTACAGAGAGCTGATTAAACAAAATATTCAAGTTGCATGGCCGGATACAGTCTGGGATGGATGACATTATCCTAAACATTCTTTTATCTTATAGTTAGTCATTCATTCAAGACTTCTAACGCAAGATAGTTTATGCCGTATGAGACTGCTTAACAAAAATATATGTGTCTTGTGCTCTAACCAGCAATTGGAAACCTGTCGCCATCTTTTCTTTGAGTGTCAATATTCTACTAGTGTGTGGAATAAAGTGATGAATTGGCTGAAGTATAAATGTAGATCATGCAATTGGGATCACATCAGTAACTGATATAGCTTAAGGCTGAAAGGAGTGCGTTTTATGAAGAAATTCAAAAGATTGGCCCTATCAGTATCAATATACACAATATGGCAAGAAAGAAATATGCGAATTTTTTAGCATAAAGCCAGAGAGCCTGAGTTTCTGTTCTGAATAGTGAAGATATCCATCCTCTCTAGAGTTCTGAATGATAGAGTTCCTTCTTACATAAAAGAAAAACTTGAGCAATTGTAACGTGTGTTTTTGATAGTCGACTCCCGAACATAGCTCTGGTTGTTTTAAAATTGTAAAAAAAAAACCTAAACTTTTATAATTTATAAATACAAAAAACTACTAAATATTACATTGAAATCAAGGAATTGCAAAAAATCATTGAAAATTTTTAAACTTTGGAGTGGTAATTTGCAATATACTAAACTTTAAGGTTTTTTTTTACAAATTTCAAACTTAATAGATTTTTAATTAATTATGTTATTTTCAAAAAAGTTATGGGTAATATTGACCATGAAAAGTTTTTTTTAAAACCTATACTTTTAAAGAGAGTATGATATTTTTTACAAATTTGTAATTTTTAGGGGTTATTAATAATTTTGTATATTTATTTTGGTGTCTATAAGTTAGAAATTCTCATAGTTTTTTTTAAAAATATGAATCTTAGTGATTTTTTATAATTTTTTAAACTTATAAGCCTTTTCTACAGATTGTAAATTGGTTATAGACTATTTATAATTCTTATGTTTTTAATTTACTATTGAGTTTGAAATTCTCAGATTGTTTTTTGTAAAATTTGAATTTTGAGTTTCTGTTTGTAGTTTTTAAAACTTTAAGGGTGTTTTCTATAAATTATAAATTATATAGGAGATATTTGTAATTTCTATTTTTTTAATATACAGTTAGGTTAGAAATTATTAGGATTTTTATAAATTTTATAATTTTGAGGGTTTTATTTTCTAATTTGTAAAAATTCAGAGTGTTTATTACAAATTTTATAAATTTTTAGGGGTTGTGTGTCATTTGTAGGTTTTAAGTGTGTTTTTAGGTTTGAAATTTATAAGGTGTTTTTTACAAATCTTAAATTTTTAGGGGTGTTTTTTATAATTTTTAAAACTTACAAGATATTTTCTCCGAAGTTAAAAAATTTTTAGTTTCTAGTTAACATATATTTTTAGATTTCTCGCTAAATTAAAATAAGTAAAATTTATAATTTTCAAGATGTTTTAATAAAATTTTAAATTTATAAAGATGTTTCTGCAATTTAAAAAACTAGGGTGTTTTATAATTTAAAAAAATTGGAGGATCTTTTTTACAAAGTCTAAAAACTTTTAGGTACTAGCTAGCATATGTTTTTTTTAGATTTCTTGAGAACTGAAATAAGTAAAGGTTTTGAATTATATATATCTTATTTATCCAATAACATGTTAAGTATTATTATGAATAAGATAAACTATTTAATTACCAATTCAAAAAAGATAGAATAATTAGAATAGATTAGAATAACAATGTAATATCCAAAAAAATTAAGAGTAATATTGACTATAGAAATATTTTCTCTAACACGTACTTTTAAAGAGAGTATGATGCTATATATAATTATAATACGATATGATCATTAATGTATAAGTATATATACTTACATATCATATATAGCTATATACTAATATGTAAGTATATACTAATATATACTTATATAAATATAATAAAATTAATCTAAAATTTTAATTAATTTTTAGCCGAAAATCAAAAAATACAAAAAAAGAAAATCCTGATTGGCCTGGAGCCCGGCCTTGTTTGACCCGGGCCCACCCTGTGTCTCGGCCCAGCCTAGGATCTGGACCGAAAAATCCGGGCCGGGCCCAGTCCAGCCTGTTGGACAGCCCTAGTCTTACCTCCTCTTGCGTAATTCTTTTTCCCTGGTACGCGCGTAATTAATCAGAGACCTAGAAATTTTACAAGGTTTTCCAAAAAAAAATGTCTAATAAGAGAGATGGACTTATTGGTACTTCTCTTTAAGGAAAATGAATTATTGGACTTTTTAGGGGGGTATATCTCTTGTGCTTTCGCGTGAGCGTTGACTAATTTGGTGAAATTTGAAGGCCCAGCCATGTGGCCTAAACAACTGAAGCCAGACATAAGTAAATACGAAACTGTCTCAGTTTGATTATGACTGTTTCTGTGGAAGATTACTTCATTCAAAATACCTTCACCTCCTAGTGATAAATATCCTTATCTATCTTGTTCAAGTGATGACAAAAATTTTAATTATAAAATTTTTGGTGAAAACTATCATAAACTATTGGATTTTTTTTCATTAAAAGTTTTATCATCTTCACGCTTATTTTGATATACCCCTCCTAAATATCTACTTTTGATATGATCTCTTGAATCTTTCGTCCAATACAATTGACATACTCCCGCTCAAGTTTATTCTGCTTTATAATTTTTAAGCAATCAATCAACATTTATTTATTTTCAAATCTCCAAATCAACTTTTTTGAAAAAAAAATCCATGGTAAAATTGTACCCTAATCTTTGAAGTAATATATGCTATCCGTTTCACTAAGGGTCTGTTTGGTTAAAAAAATTGGGTCGAAAACATGTGGGAAACCGACATTGTTTCCTATGTCAAATTAACCAAAAAGAATTCCTATTCTGCTATTTGATACTCCAGAAAACTTTTGGGAAATCTTTTCAAAGACGTCAGAAAACATCATCAAAAACGGAAAACCCAATTCCGAGTTATGAGGTGGAATTGGATGGAAAATGCAAAAAGAAAATATTAAAATAAGGGGCGTAGGTTTTTAGAGTTTCAAATTCCTTAGTTTTACACCATTTCAGTGATGTTTTCCAAAATACTAAACTAAGGAATATAAATATATGCGTTTTCTTAAAATGTTCTTTTTTTTTCAAGTTTGATCCAAGGCAAAAAAAAAAGAAAAAGAAAAAGAAACAGCACTTTGCGAAGAAACGCATGAAAAACTCCAAAAATAATTTTTTGCATTGGAAATTCTGTTCCTATATTACTTGGAAATGAACTAAACAGGCCCTAAATGATATCTTTCTCATTAAATATTACTCCACGGCCTGCACAACCAAATGAGAGTTAGTCCATGACACTGACAATGGACTGATCAGCTATGTTTATCAGCAAAATCTACTTACTACAAACAAGCATCAGGCATATAAGCAACAGTTTTTCGTGCCTAACAAGTATCACCTTTCCATTTGGTACCAAAAATTGGTGCTATCCCCATACATTAGGTTTCAAAAATATGGCAAAAAAAGCAGTTACGATTGCAATACACGGAGTCAAGCATCAGAGAGCATTCAGAGCAGTAGTATTCAGCAAAAACTCCAGGCATCACCACCCATGAGACAAATTTTTGCAATCTGATTTCACTTAGATCACGGAACATAATGATTTATATAATAACAACGAATGAACCATAACCACGTCTCAACTGCAACTTAACATGCTAGCTTTCTTGGTGTTCAAACATAACTCTGTTTCATCTCTTATGTCGTAATATAAAATCGATAACATGTCAGTGATAATGCATACATCTTGCTCCAATTGCTTTATGTATGGATTGTTAAAGTTGTTCGATCCCATTAATATTATCTGTCGATGAGTTGATTGCAGAGATAATCAGTCCCCTTGTCCGGCCAGGAGCACCTCCTTTAAGTGAAGATACATCGAGGAAAAAACTACAAGAGAAGCAGCAGCTTGACTTAACTAAAATGAATGGTTCAAGTATTGATCTCCAGAGCATAGTGAAATCAACATACATGTAAGGAGTTGAAGATTCGATTTGGCCCCTGCCACAGTTTATCAGAATCTTCTGATCCTTTTTAGACACAGAATGAATAAGAGGAATTTTGTCCACTACTACAAGATACAAGAGAATTCAGCATTAATGATATTATTAAAAAAATAATAATTTCACCAAACTGGAACAAAGAAATGAAAAGAAAAATAAATGAACCATTTGTAATATAATTTTTCCCCCTCTTCTCTTTCTGTGACTAGAAGAAGTTTATGACAACATAAGTTACCCGACTCATTAGAGACATCAGGGGTTTCATCTAGGGCAAGTAATTTCTGCATGAAATGGAAATTTTATCACAGAAATGTCCGGCAAAACGTAAGACTTTAGAATATTAAAATGTACAGCTTTATGTAAAGAGAGAAGGGAAAAAAAGAACCTTCAGATTCTGATAGCACGTTTCAAGGTCATCATTAACCAAAAAATGGTCAAAAAGACCTGGGGCTCTTCCTTGCTCGAGCTCAGCTTTCGCGTTTCTTAGCCTCTTTTGAACTTGTTCCTCAGTTTCTGTTCCCCTACATAAAGCACAACAAGACACAAATACACTACATAAGATTTACAATATAAGAGAATGTATGTCTGTATAGTAAGTTACGGTTTTGAAAACACTCTAAAATCTCTTATATACCGAGAGCGAAGGCGCTTCTCAAGCTCATCAAATGATGGGGGGCAGATAAATACAAAAATCGCTTCAAGAGAGCTAGCCCTCACTGATCTAGCACCCTGAACATCTATGTCGAGAATACATCTCTACAATACAGAAATTGAAGAAAATATCTTCAAATTTACCAATTGCACAAACACAATAGTTCTTATCAGAAATAGGGGGTATTCAAATTTTTACCTTGCCAGAATCTGTTACTGCTTCTACTGCCTCAATGCTCGTGCCATAAAGATTACCATGTACTGATGCAGATTCAAGGAATTTCCCCTCTTGTATATCTTTCTCCATTAGGCTTCGTTCAGTGAAATGGTAGTGAACCCCATTGACTTCTTTCTCTCTCGGAGCTCGAGTTGTGTGGCTTACAGAAAACCCAAACATTGAGGGGTATTCTTTCATTAGCTTTGATATCAGAGTTCCCTTGCCGACTCCTGAGGGGCCACTGATTACAACTGGCTTTAGGCCACTGCCTCTGACTCCCTTACTCCAAGCTACCACTTCTGTTCCAAGTAGCCTATTTTGCTCTTTTATGAGGGGTGTGTCGACCTACCAATTAGTCTCAAGGTAAGATTCAGTTACATCATGGCTATAACAGGTACATCATGGCTATAAACTTTTAAATAGCCAAAGACTTTGATAAGAACTATTTGATTGAATTGGAACTACCATCAAAATACATATCCTACGAAATATGCTAACATAATGTTGTATTGCCGATGATTAACTGCCAATGATTTCACATAAATTACACAGGTAGTTGTCGAATTCATGTATTTGGCCAATCCACTTGATCCGTCTTCACCACATTCAACAGTAACCTCTAAGGATGTTCAAATATACTACAAACTCCGCCATCTTCTATGTAAATCTGTTGAGATTCTTATGTTGTTTTCTAATGAATTGTCATTATCCAAATCATATCAAGTAATTAACTATAAACTGTCAATTTCATAAAATCTGAAATACAAGATGAAAACAATATGAAGATTACAAACCTCAAGAAACCAGGTGCAATCATCAAGAGGAGACCCCCCCTTAAGGATCAAGATCTGATTTTTATTTATAAGAACAGCTGAGTGGCCTTTAGATGAAACGGGCTTGGTACCCAATACAGTAGGAAAAGACCTGCCAATTCCATGAAAATTTAATCAAACACTATATGCTAAAGTAGCAAAGGAGCAAGAATTAGTTGAGAATGAATCTCACCATTTTCCTGTCAACTTATCAAAAATTTTGACACCAATCTCTGAGCCAGCATATTCCTCAGATCCTCCAATTACATACTGAACAAAGAAAGCAGACACAATTAGATCTTGCAAGATATTTACCACATAATGCAGCTAAAACATAGAAAGATGTCTATCACACGAACTTACGATCTTATCGCCGACATCCGTGGAAGTCTGATAGCCTTGGGTCTCTGAATCATACCCAACAGCTTGAAATTTATCTGTGTTCCCTATGAGATACTGTGGAGCCTCTTCCCCCTATTCATAATATATTCAGGAAAACACCTTAGCATAAACTCAATCATCATATTTCTCACAACGATACAACTACGTATATTTCTCAATGATCAAACTCACCATGAAGCAGTAAACTTTCTGCAGTCAAAAGTTCCAAGCTCTGGACAAGAGAAAATAGAGAAAAAATGCAATTAACACAGAGAATAAAAGCAGTTTCATGAAATCCATATACCACATCAATTAGCATAATCAGTAAATATACAAAATCTGCAACCCATGGTCCAATGCAAACAATTGAAAATGCCTCCAATCTAGATCTTATGCAAACATGCCCAAGATCAAACTTTTTCAATACCAATGAAACACCCACGTCAGAAACATAGATGGGCATTTAAAACAACCAAAACCCAATATATAGCTAAAACCCAACACAACGTTTTCACGAAAAACGGGGGGGAAACATGAAAGGACCCAGCAAAGATTCAATTTTTACAGCAGAAAACAGAATATCAAAGAGAAACCCACCTCAATCCCCTCGAGAACTCTTGGGGACTCAACACGTTTTAAATGCTGAAATCAATGAAACAATGGCAGGAAAAAGATTGCCAAAATAACGAGGGTCCTTAGGAGAGAGCCAAAAATAGTAGGCTCTCTCTCTTTTTGTTTTTTCTTTCCTCTAATTGATGTCCGCTCTTTACAATCAAAGCCCAAGTATAAATAAGAGGAGAAAGATTGAAATCAAATCAATGGAATACAGATTCTATTGGGTTTAGTCTTAGATTTCACTAAAAGGCCCTTCATTTTTTTAATGGCCAGAGGGAGGAGGAAGGCTCCCCACTCAACCGGGTTATAAAAAAAAAACCCCTAAAATTGGACCGGTCTGGTCCCCCAAAAAAGTGAATAAAAAAAAACCCTAGAATATCAAAATTGGGGTTAGGGGAACATGTCAGCGCCTGTTTTAGCGTTGTTTCCTTCTATCCTCGGGTCATGGGTTAATATCAAAATTCTAGAAGCTCTGGTCAGTTGTCAGATGAGATTTTTCTTTTAATTATTACAAATATAGCTCAGAAACTGCAAATAGGAGAGGGGGTGTCCTCCATGAATGCATGATGTCATGTTCATGCATTCAGAGGTGTCCTCCCTGAATGCATGATGTCATGAACAACGCATCATGTATTCATGGGGGACACCTCAATTGTCCCTCATTGGGTCTTCTATTTCGGGTTCCTATATCAGCACCCTAATTATTATTCAATCGTTTACTAAGTTATTTGATAAAATTTTACCATTCACATAAACGTTGTCATCCATTATTTAAGGATTATGAAAAATGATCAAATAAAAATTTCATTGTTTTCTCTTTGCAAATATTAGATGAGAGGATATTCTAATAATAATAATAATACTTAATAAAGAGAACTTGGTTGAAGACAATTAAGAAGGGTGCGATAATGATCAACACATTGACAAGAAAGCCTTTCAGACTGGCTTTGGGAGAACTGAATAAAAATGTGTGATTCATATATTTGGTTTCAAAATTTTAGAGTAAAGTTTTGGATTTTGCAGATAAATTACAATGAGTCTTCACAAATTTCAGTTATTGCATAAAATAGTCTACATCCTAGTCAGCTATTTGCAAAATCCTAAAGTATAATAAAGACTAAAACAACCCCAAGAATAACCGAGTAACTACCGTCCTTGAAGTCTGGCATGTGGAATTTAGACCATCCATTTGTCTTTTATTTCCCCTCTCCTCTTCAACAAAAAGTGTTGAACGTCATCAAAAAATGTCATGGGTGTGCAAGCTTAGCCGACACATCCTTGGACCGTAGGCACAGCGTACCGGGCCCAAGTTGGAACGGGTAGGGAAAAGGGCAACTTGAGATTCAACTTGAACGGAAATAATCCCAATTTGAAGGACAAGTGTGCTTTCCTTTCTTTTTAGGATTGAGCGCTGCTACGGGGACCCAAAATATGGGACCAAGGGGTGGGACTAGTGATGTGTCCCTTCCCTATTGGATAATGAGTTGGCAATAAGTTGACATGGCCAACTCATTATCCAATAGGGGAGGGACACATCACCTGTCCCACCCATTGGTCCCATATTTTGGGTCCTTGGAGCATTAATCTTACACATAAACCTCCTAAGCCGTTGGCAAAACCACTGCCCTAGCATACCTAACATAGGCACTCTAGCTCAGCATTAACCTATATATTTCTAATTTTGTGTCTTGGTTGAATGAAATCTCTGACTTTTTGAGTGCGAGTTTGAATATGGATCATGTACTCTTCGATTCTGTTTAATAAATTTTTTTTCTATTTCTAATGAAAAAAACAATAAAAAGGTTAGATAATTTTCACTCCATGAATATTAAACTTAAAGAGATAATAAATGCCACGCTGCAAACACCGTGAGGAGCGTATGTGCAGTTAGAAAAATTCTTTAAGGACCCAAAATATGGGACCAATAGGGGGGACAAGTGAGGTGTCCCCCTCCTATTGAATAATGAGTTGGCCATCATTAATGATGGCCAACTCATTATTCAATAGGAAGGGGACAACTCACTTGTCCCTTTTATTGGTCTCATATTTTGGGTCTCTGTAGCAAAGCTCGTGCAGTTAACCCAAACTTAAACCTCAATTTTGGGGCGGCTGTCCCTTTATGGGTTGTAGCTATTCCCGCCTGGGTTCGCTGCATCTAGGAATTGATCCCGATTCGTCTCCTCCACAAAATTAATTTGATTTGAAAGGAATGTGATCGATCGTATGATTACAAGTGGGGTTAGGATCTAATCCAAGTTGTCAAACAATTATGGTTGGAGGCTAAAAGGTGATTAAGACTGACCCCATGTTAAAATAACAAGGATTGAAATGTTAAAAAGTCTCAGATTCAAGTTTAGTCGGCATAAAGAAATATTTAAGTAATAGAGTCAGAGATTTATTTTGAGGTCACCCGGCTCCCAACTTTAGACCCTACTTGCGTATTGCTATCATCTTTTTGACTCGAACACAAACATAGACCGGCGGTTAAAGATAGGCTTCCGTTTGTTCTTATCTAGCTCTTGTCAAAAGCTAACTGATTAGTACAATAATCAATCAGGAAATCCTGTTCTAAAAATGGTATCATTTCGTTTCCTATCAATTTTTAATCTATAAATTTATAGTTTAAATTGTTTATGAACCCTTATTACTTAGGCTAAGATAGAAGCAAGAGAATTAAAATATAGAGTCCTATCTGATACGACTACGAGACTCTTGTTGAATAATTTAACGAGCTAGACATGAATAATTGAACTAGAAAAAATAGATTCAAGTTACCATTCACCGTCAAAACAATGGAAGTCTTCTCCTCTCTCCTCCCGTAGCCAACGATGGGAATTTGGTCTCTTTTCTGCGTACGGTTGAGAGGAGGGACTCCCACCCTTAAATAGATATTTGTGATTAACCATACCCATCATGGTTTAATCACAATCGGGGGATTACACTCCGATCAATCATATCCTTTAGATATTCAAGATAACCACCCAATTTGATAAATATGAAAACTGTCTAACCAGACCATGTGGTTAGCATCCTGATCCTAACTTAAATCGATGGTAACTTTAAATCAAATCCAGAATTGAGTAGGTTGGGCCACATGGGTTCGTTGGATTAATCGAACCCAACAATCTCCTACGTGGTACAACATACCTCATTTTAATTTTAAAAAATATTTAAATTTTCAAAAACTTTTAAAGTTGGGTGCGCACCCATTTATTTTAGAAAACAACTTGTTGCCATGATTCTAATTAGGATAGTTTCCGAAATCTTTTCCTTAAAACAAAAGTAACACTAATGATTGATCGTGAAAACACTATATGCTCTAATATGGCACAAGGTCACTCCACGGTCCAACCGCTAGTACCGCTAATGTTCTAAAAATAATTTTTCTTATGGTGGTTTCAGTGGAGTGTAATAGAGTCGTACATCCCTTATGGTCAAATCCGATGTACGCCCTTAAGTGTCCTTTGCAACATACACAAACGTGTACACCGTTCTGAAACTTTTACCGGCATCCGCCATGTGAAAATCATCACCTTTAGTCCAGAACGAAAGCCTCAATATATATATATATATCAAGCAACAATGACCAATAACACAATGCTTGAAAATATCAAATTGCTAACAAAATCAGCACAATAGTTTCTTCATGAGCTCAAAGCAATCCAGAATATAGTACTTGAAAATTCAACAAAACTACTACGACAACTAAATCTCACTGATCATATAGAAATGAAAGACTCTAAAACACTCATATTGGAGACATGTTCCTTGAAGAGCCCTGGAGAAATTCCCTTGGTCAAGGAATCAACAATCATCAATTGAGTCAGCAGATGAGGAACCTCAATCAATCCTTGTTCGACCTTATCAAGGACTAACAAGCACTTCACACTGATGTGCTTATTCCTACTGGAAAAATTCTTGTTCTTTACAAATTGTACGACTGCCTGATTGTCACAATACAACTTTACTGGTCTCTGAATGGAATCCACCACCTTTAGTTTACTGATGAAATTCTTGAGCCAAGAGGCATGCAATGTTGCTTCAAAAACATCAACATACTCTGCCTCCATGGTGGATATCGTTACTAAGGACTACTTGGCACTTTTCCAGGAAACTACTCCTCCAGCAAGCAAAAATATATAACCTGATGTTGATTTCCTGTTATCAGCACATCCCGCAAAATCTGAATAACCAACGACTTCTAGATTTTCAGACCTTCTGTAGACCAACATGAAATCCTTGATCCTCTGTAAATACTGTAAAACCTTATTTACAGCTTTCCAATGAGCTACACCAGGATTTTGCTGAAACCTGCATAATATTCCCACAATATAACTGATGTCTAGCCTGATGTATGACACCGTATACATTAGACTGCCAACTACAGAGACATACTCCTCAGAGTTCACGAGTCTACACTCAACTTCATTTCACGGGCATTGAGATTTGTCGAACATATCTCCTTTGACAACTGGGGATTTACCTGGTGCAAAAAACTTTATGTTATATCGTTGAAGGACTTTCTCAATATAAGCCCTTTGAGATAAGCCCAACAAGTCTTTAGTCTAATCTCCATGGATCTTGATGCCCAAAACATAATGAGCATCTCCAAGGTCTTTCATATCGAAATGTCTCGAAAGAAAATCCTTAGTCTCATGTAGAAAATGAATATCACTGCTGACAAGCAATATATCATCTACATACAATACTAAAATGAGGAATCGGCTCCTACTAATTTTGAGGTATATGCAGCGATCGACAAGATTCTCTCAGAAGCCATTTGATGTTATTACTTGATGAAATTTTATGTACCACTATCTGGAAGCCTATTTGAGACCATATATTGACTTCTTCAATTTGCAGACCAGATCTCCCTTAACTGCAAACCCTTTAGGCTACACCATAAAGATTTCCTCGTTTAGATCTCTATTCAAGAATGTCGTCTTAACATCCATTTGATGGAGCTCAATATCAAAATGAGCGATGAGAGCAAGGACTATCCTGAGAGAATCTTTCTTAGATACTAGAGAAAAAGTATCGATGTAGTCAATCCATTCTCTCTGCTTGAAACCCTTGGCCACAAGCCTGGCCTTGAATCTCTTAATGTTCCCTTAAGAATCCCTTTTGGTCTTGAAGACCCATTTGCATTCCATTGCTCTAGCTTTGTTCGGCAAAGGTACCAACTCCCAAACAGAGTTCTTTTCCATTGACTGAAGCTCTTCTTCCATAGCCTTTAGCTAATCAGCTACATGAATGATGTCTGTAGCTTTTGAGTATGATGAGAGATCATCAAATTCTAGATCAATGCATCCGCTTTCCTGAAAATAGACCTCATAGTCATCAGGTATGGTAGATCTTCTGACTCTAGAGGATCTTCTAACAGGTTGTGGCTCTTCCGCAGGTACAAAGGTTTCTTGAACTCGAGGAGGAGATGAAATGCTATCTGGAAGAGTAGGGAATTTAGAGATGACATCTAATAGCAGAAGCGACTGCTCATCTTCTAAAACTTCCTCAAAACTCAGACCATGATGTTCTGAAGAAGCATTAGGGTCTTCCAAAAACTCAGCATGTTGTGTATTGGGTAGACCGAGAAGAACAATAGAACTTGTAGCCCTTAGATCTTGCAGGATAGCGGATAATGCGACACGATACTGTTCGGGCTTCTAATTTCTTAATGTCTAGATTATAAGGTCACGCCTCTGCTGGACATCCCCAAACACGTAGATGACCAAGACTAGGATCTCTGCCAATCCAAAGCTTGAACGGGTAGTCAGCTACTGCCTTAAAAGGGATACGATTGATGACATATACAGCTGTCTTCAATGCTTCATTCCAAAAACTTTCAGGCAAATCTGAATGATTCATCATGCTACGAACAACATCTTGATAAGTACGATTTCTTCTTTTAGCTACTCTATTTTGCTACGGAGAATCTAGGAGAGTATGCTGAGGAACAATGCCTTGTGACCTCAAGTACTCAATGAAGGGACCATGATTTGTGCCGTCCTGGTCGCTTTTACCATAGAATTCCCCACCTCGATCAAAACGCACAAATTTAATCTTTCTTTCTAACTGTTTTTCAACTTCAGCTTGAAAGATTTTAAAAACATCTAGTGCTTCATATTTGTGGTGAAGAAGAAAAATATAGGCATAGCGCGAAAAATCATCTATGAAGGAGATGAAGTATCACTGACCACCATGAGAGGGAGTGGGAAAAGGTCCACAAATATCTGTATGAATGAGGCCAAGAAGACTTTCACTCCTAGAGGCTTCAAATTTTCTTAATTTAGTCATCTTTCCCTTGATATAATCAACACAAGTACCAAAATTAGAGAAATCTAACTATTCAAGAACATCAGACTTTACTAAGAATTCCAATCGCTTTCTTGAAGCATGTCCCAATCTCCGGTGCCAAAGTATGAAAGAATTGCTATTAAGCCTATGATACTTTGTACCAGAAGAAGATGAATTCACAGTCATACAGAGAGGGGAAGGAAAAGTTCTTGAATTGTTTGATTTCTATTTCGTCAAAAAGTTGAAATTTTTTTTAGCCATGGCCAGATGCAAAGCTTTTTGCAATGTTCGTTGGATTTCAGCCATGGCCAGATGCAAATTAGAACTCAAAGATGTTTTTTTCATGCCTCCAAAGACCATGGCTGGAGTTTGAACCCATGTGTCTATAGCTGCTCCTCATGGCTGCTCCAAAGGCCATGGCTGGAGTTTGAACCCATATGGCCATAGCTGCTCCTCGCAGAAGAATGGCGTCGGCCATGCCTCATGACGGCGATGCGCCCGACGGCGTAGGGCTGGGTGCTGGAGGTCGCAGTGTCACTGCCTCTTGAGGTGCTGGCAGCGACAGTCTTTCATTCTTGGGTCGGGTAGGCTTAGGGTTAAGGTTTTAGTTAATTAGTTAATTAATTTAATTAGTAAATAATTAGATTAATTAGTATAATTAATTACCTTTTATTATTTAAGTTATATAACTCTATAACCTATTAAGCCAGACCCGATCTAATATGTAATGGACTCGACCCGCTACAGTAATGGATTGAATCTATTAATATTCTGACCCAACCCATTATGTAATGGGTCAGACCCAATAATTTCCAGACCCGACCCATTACAGTTTTGACCATTCATTTTATTTTGGTCGCTACAGATCCGTTTTAAGTCCGATTTGAGCCTACAAATAGTCGTTGGAAAGATTATTTTGTTTACTTTTCAACTATATAGTTTTTATTTTTATTTTATAAAGTTTTAATACATAAATTTGGTCAATTCATAAAAAAATATTGTATGCACATAAAGATAATTGATTTACCCTAATTGTATCCTTAATTCAAATGGGGTAAATATTTGGGTTCATGATAAAATAGATTACAGTATTAGATCAACCTATAGGGTTAAGGAAGATCAGTAAAACAATCACTTAAAAATTATAATAGAGTAGGTTAGTGTCTTGCCCAAAGGTGACCAACCTATAATACCCTAATTTTCTAAGGTTGAGTTTAGTCTTATTTGGACTGGAAGATTGCACTTACCTGTGGGTGGACTACTAGTCTTGCCCAAAGGTGTCTAGAAAATCCCATACATGATAAGTGGTGCAGGATAGTTAAAATAGGTCAGTGAAAGGAGAATAACCATATTGCCCAAAGGTTAGGAAGTGTTCAAATCAAACTGACGCTGTGTAGGCTAGTCCTATAGGTGATTGTATATCACATTTAGGGGGCGAATAGCATGTCAAATCACCTGACCAAAGGTGTGATGAGATGATGCACTCATCTGTCTTGCAGAGTGGAAGGTTGCATACGTAAAACACTCTGACGCATCCATTCTAACCCTAAATTGGATGTGGAAATATTAAAGTTAATAAATTAAAGGTCTCATTTGATTTATACGTCCATGGCTTAATGCAGATGGACGAACAGTTTATCCAGAAGCATCTGACTGGGATTGAGCCTCTCACCGGTTCTAACTATGGCAATTAGAAGATGCAAGTTAAAATAGTACTTGGGTGTCTTGACTACGACTATGTTCTCACTGAAGATAAGCCAGTTGGGTGTCTTGACTACGACTATGTTCTCACTGAAGATAAGCCAGAAGAGCCTGATGAGTCATCAAGTCTATCTGAAAAGAAATCTCGACTATGTTCTCACTGAAGATAAGCCAGAAGAGCCTGATGAGTCATCAAGTCTATCTGAAAAGAAATCTCGTACTAAGTGGGTCAAAGCCAACAAGCTTGCAATGCTGATCATTAGAGCATTGGTGGACCAGACTATTTGTGGAGGTATTCCGACTTGCAAAACTGCTAAGGAGTTGCTTGAGACCATCAAGAAGCAGTTTAAGGGATCCGTCAGAGCGAAAAAGTACAGTTATCTGGTCAAACTCAATAATTTAAAATATGATGAAAGTGGTGATGTTCGTCAGCACATTTTGAAGGTTTCTCAGTTGATCATTCGTCTCAGGGAGTTGAGACTTCAGTTAGAGGATGATCTGATGGTTTATTTTGTAGTCGCTTCTCTACCAAGCAAATTTGACATTTTTAAGGTGAAGTACAGTTCTCAAGACAGAAAATGAGACTTGAATGAGCTTATTGTTGTATGTATTGCTGAGAAAGAGCGGCTGAAAATAGAAAAAATGAGATGGCAAATCTGGCACATGGCAAGCTTGGACCAAATAAGGTAGGAAAGAAATCCTTCAAGAATCAAGGGCACAATAAGGGGAAGAAGTCTTTCGACAATCTTTCAACTGTTTCTATCACTTCTTCAGCAAGAGAAAATGTTGAATGTTTCTTCTGCAAGAAACTTGGTTTTGATACCACTGTTTAACGATCTAGACATGAATAATTGAACTAGACAAAATAGATTAAAGTTACCGTTCACCGTCAAAACAATGGAAGTATTCTCCTCTCTCTTCCCGTAGTCAACGATAAGAATTTGGTCTCTTTTCTGTGTACGGTTGAGAGGAGGGACTCACACCCTTAAATAGATATTTGTGATTAACCCTACTCATCATGGTTTAATCACAACCGTGGGATTACACTCCGATCGATCCTATCTTTTAGATATTCAAGATAACCACTCAACTTGATAAACATGAAAACTGTCTAATCAGATCATGTGGTTAGCATCCTGATCCTAATTTGAATCGAAGGCAACTTTAAATCAAATCCAAAATTGAGTAGGTTGGGCCACATTGGTTCGTTGGATTAATCGAACCCAACAACTCTATCATACATAGTGTAAAGGGAATTGGTTACTGTTCTCTCAAGCAAACTATAATATATGCAAAAGATAGTGTTTATTATTTATTTTTTTAAAATATTTTGTTATACCTATTTCGTTTTTGGTGGTCAAATTCTAGAAACTCACATATCATTACTTCAAATAAGTTCAATATTTATCCAAAAAAAGTTCATTATGAAATTTGGTGGAAATCAAGAATATGTCTTGCAATTTAGTCCCCATAGAGAAGCAAGGCATAATTGTTTTTTGCTAATTAGAGAACGTGCAAGTGCATAACAGCACATTAACTCGATGATCAAGTCTTAATATCCCATCATATTTGTTATGTGAATAATTACACCAAGTGTTATTTGTCAATAGATCAGCTCACTCTCTAGTGAGGGTGACTGGAGCACCACAAACACTCGTCCTTTCCGTAAAAGTTCCGAGTCAAGTCAATATCTCACTCGACCTCATTAGTCGAATCGACCACCCTCATTCCCTCAGAATCGGGTCGACAATTTGTAAAAACCATAAGAAATGTGATATTTGTCGGTCCACTTGCAGAGCTGAGTTGAAAGGCTATTCGTACTCGAACTCTGTACCAACAACTGTTCATCATCATCATGGTTAGGGGTGTCCAAAAAGCCCGCCGACCGGCCCGGGGCCCGGCCCGGGCTTGGCCCGAAAACCCGGGCCAGACCCGGGCCCGGTCGTCGGCGCCCGGCCCGGCCCGGCCCGGAACAATGTTTTTTTTTATTTTTTTTATTTTTTTATTTTCTTATATGTATAATATATGTATATATAAAATGAGAAATATGGGTATGCTTGGTACCAAGCACAAATTTTGTGCTTGGTAGTGATGTGTCACATCCCCATCCACTCACTACCCATGTGAATTTGTTCCCATATTTGAATGAGTGGAGAGAGATTTGACACCTCACTACCAAGCATAACTTTTTATGCTTGGTACCAAGCATACTCATATTTCTCATATAAAATATATGTATATGTGTATGTGTGTGTGTATATATATATATATATATATATATATATATATATATATATATATATATATATATATATATATATATATATATATATCTATACTATGCTATGTGTATTATTGTTATTATATGTTATCCCTTCCTGCTGGGGACAATAAGAGTGTTCTGTTAAGCGCTCTGACGCTCGTGTTTCCACCTTTTTAGTAGCGGGTGGGGATTCAAGTCGCAATGTTGAAAGATTCCATAGTTATCATTCATTCTAGGAGGCTAGTTGGTTGCTCCACAGTGGACTAAGTCATAGTTGTTAGTCTTTTAGAGTTGTATTTCATATGGAGGCTGAGTGCCTTAGTACTGTTTGGTTTGACTTCTTATGCTTAAAGACTCATTGTTTTATCTCAATTTATGAGAACGTGCTTTCTTTTCTCTGTAGGACATATTATAGACTGGTTGATATCTCTCTCTACATTTTATTCTTATATTTCATTTTTGTTATATCTACTTGTACCCTCATTACTTTATATTGACATCTGCTAGAGTGGTAGTTAGATGATAGTGGAAACATGTTTATGCACGTGTTGGGGTGGCATGGGCAGTTGCATATTTGGGTTCCCTTGACTGAACTATGTGGACACGTGTAAGACTAATCAATGATCGGGAATCGGCAATCTCTTGTCAAATGTCTTTGGGCGCTTCATCGATTCGTCAACTTGCAATGCATATTTGGTCGGAAGAGTTGTTTGCTAGCTATGGTGACCACTGAGTATACCTAGGTAGAGTAGTGTACGCTTGTGAGTGATGCCAGGGCACGCATATGTATTCTTGAGGCATAGTACATAATCAATATGAAGGTTCAAAAGAAATTAGCTTAATGTTATAGTCTCTCGTGATAAAGGGTACCAGATCTGTAAAACCCATAGTTTCTTTGAAATATATGAAAATAATATTTAATGATTTTATTATGGTTGATACAATTTTGGGTGAACGAGTATGTTAATAATCGATGTGGAGATTCGATAAGTAGTATTGAAGATATTTGATACGGTGTGTATCTTTTCTCTGGCTCGGGAGCTTAGCGATCTCATGGTAGCTTGAGGATAATTTATTCTCATGGTTCTTGAGATATAGAGGCATGGATGCAAGCCGTTGTGGTGGCGAAAGAATGCTAAAGGCAAGAAGACAACAAAATCAAGGAACTAAGGCGCGCATGCTCTGGCTGGTTGGATCGGACAAGCTGGTCTGGTCGACCGGATTCGTGCAACTACTACAGGGTGAGGAAGTGATGTCCTCTGGCCGATCGACGACACACTGGTCGATGGACCCGGCAACACACTAGTCAGCGACCGAGCGTGGTTCTACCGTACAGGGTTTGAAAACGCAACCTCTGGGCCAGTCGACCGTAGACATGTGTCCGTCGACCGGATCGGGTTTCCTGAGTTTGTGTGGGACTCTTTTGATGCGTTTCGCTGTTTGTGTTGGACCTGTTTATTTGCAAGATTACATGCCACGTTGTTTAGGGATATAAATAGGATTGTTTTAAGATTTTCTAGAAAATCAGATTGTATCCAAAGCAGAATAGAGAGATTGTTCTTATTCTAGTGAGAATTGTGTGAGAGAGATTGTAATCTATTACTCATAATCTAGAGAAATATTTTCCTTCGCCAACCTGAATTGTTCTTGTGTTTCTTATTATTTTTTTCTCACCCACTTTGAAATTCGCGATCAAAGGTCTCGCACATGACTCGTATAAAGTGGTATCATAGCGATTAGATCCTGTGAAGGGGGAATCCTATGTATTGGTCCTCACTCGATTCATAGTGACAAAAGCTAGGCGAGATTCTTATTCCTTGGAAGAATCAAAATTAAGGAATTGACAAAAAGTGACAATTCAACAAGGCTGGATGCGTTGAAGGAAAACAAATCGAAACAATCGGATCGACTCTCACCCAACTCATTGATCTCATCCATGGAGAGAACAAGGGTGATGCTTCTTCGAAGTCCAAGAAGAACCTGTAGAGTCGTAATGGAGAGAGAAGAGATTAGATTCGACGAGGAGGTTAGACCATAAGCCCTATTCGCCACATTCAAGGGGTAAGGGTCCCTACCAAATCTGAAGATTAATTTAGAGTAGAGATTCCCGTTTATAATGGGAGTGTGAACGTTAAAGGAGACTTGATGATTGGATCGAGTGGTTGGAACTTATTTTACTCTCTATGGGCTACTGCATCAAAAGAGAAGATTTTTTTACAACATTGAATGCTTTCAGGGCACGTGTTGAATGGTGAAATCCTATGTGGCAAGAAGGGAGAAGAGGCGGTGTGTGGAACAAGCTTTAAGGAGCTACTGAGAGAAGTAGTTCTACGCCAGTTGGGATTCATTGAGGAGCGTGTACAAGTGTAGGTAGTAGTGACTTGACGGCCAAAAATTCTCAGACCGTTTAACAGAATACAATGGAGTTCCGCAGCATTAAGCGATGGTCCTTAACATAGCGACGGAGGAATACTAGATTTTTATGAAGTTTATTGGTGGGAACTGATGATACATTCAGAACGGAGATGATGTGTTCGGTCGAGTCATTGCAGGAAGGCGAGCTGTGACTGCTATTGCTATTAGGGGCAAGTAGAAGAAGCAATGAAAAGGGAGATTCGCAAGCAAGATGGAGGCAGTCTAATACTCTCACCTAAGGAAGGAAGAAGAAGGTGATCTAGAGAAAGCAGGATGACTTGCATCACTACCAAGAGATAGGGCACGTGGCTGATCGGGCTGGGAGAAGTATCCTCATCTGAAAGCGGAGAAGGGGTTGAAGAAGAAGGAGAAGAAAAGGCGTACATGATAGCACAGGGTCTGAAGAAGTTTTCGGATGACAGAGCACAGCAGTTTAACTTATGCAGGGAAGCATGTCGCGAATGAAGACGAAGACCTAGGAGCAGCTTCTTTGTTCTGAGTAATAGGTGGAAGACCAGTTTTGCTCGATTGCTATTGTGCTTCAGGAGCCAGAAGAATTTGATTATCCGAGGCCTTGGTTCAGAAGGCTGGGATTGAAGATAGGTAAAACATGCTAAGCCCTATCCTTTTAGGTGGATTTAGAAGGAGGCGGGATTGAGTGTGATTCAACCATCACTTTAGATTGTGCACTCCACGAGTCGTAGTATTGACGAGGTTCAGTGCGACATCATTCCGTTGAATGTTTTGTCAGGTTATACTGGACAATCCCTATTGTGGGATAAGGTACGCCAGTCTAACCGACAGATGAGCCCGAAGCATATTTCCACAGGGACTGGCGAATACTTCATATTTCGTTCGGCATTCTTCCATAGGGACTAGCTGGTGACGGTGACTCAAGGAAGAG